TTTAGCCATCAATTTTCAACTCCCCTCAATAAAGATGAAACTAAATTATATTTACAATCCCAAATTCACAAACAATTTTTTGTTTTTTATTTTTAAATGCATTAACTTTTAATTTTTAATATTCTTAAATTGTGCTTACAAACTTTCTCTTTTTTTGTTGAGAAGTATATTCACTGTCATCAGAATCAGGTTCAGATACTTCCTTTTCTATATTATTGTCAATTTCAGACTGTTGATCTTTAAATTGTAATAAATCCAAATCTAAAATATGTATTTGTTGCTTATAATCAGATAATTTTTTGCAATGTGGATAATCTTATAAATAATGTTTTTTAAATTCAGAAAAAAATCTACACCAATAAACTTGATTATTTTTGATTATAACTTCTTCTGGTTTATCTTTATTAAGCTCTTAAACAATTTTTTTAAGTTCTTCGATAGTATATTTATATTTATTATATTTGAGATCCCAAATCATTTCACGAAAATCAGATTCTGAACCTTTATGAAAGATGAGTTGTGTTGTATATTTTTCAATATCATTATTCCATTCACTCTGAAATTCAATTATAAAATCAAGTTGTCACTTAAATTATTTCCAATCTCATTGTGTTGATGTTTTATTATCAATATTTTTCTGGCCAAAATTAAATACTTCTTCAGATGGTTTTTGTGATGTCATAAAAATATATTTGGCTAAAAATAGAACAAAACTTTTTTCTTTAATTTCAACAGACTCATTTAAATATTTAACTATATCATTTCAATTGAGACATATATACCATTCATCAAAAAAAACTATCGAGTGATCATTATAACCATTCTACTAATTAGAACCAGATCTTTGCTTCTTCTTCTTTGAGAACATTTCTGAACCAAATAGTTTTTTAACAAGATTTGATTTGCCTGCACCACCCTCTCCATAAAAATAGAATATTAGTGGACACCAAAATCTTTTTGATTGATTTTTATTTTTTTTTTTAGCAATTTCAGTTTCTATTAATTTCGCTTAAAATAAATTGTTGCTAAAAGGAACAATATTTTTATTCTTTTTAACTACATCTAAAAGTGTTGTGCTATTTAAAAGCATATTATTTTCATCGATTTCTGTATCATAAATTTGTAATTGTTTTTCTTGATATTTTTCATACAAATCAGATTGATCTCTAGACAGAGCTAGATATCTATATTCACCAAATTCCCAGGGACCAACTACTTCTTGTGATAATAAATTTCTATCTAGATCAGTCTATCATATCCAAGTTCTTTTCATAATACAGTTTTTATCACATATATTACAAATATTTCACGTACCAAAAAATCACAGTGACATTTTTTTATATGTTTTGGTTCTTTATATCTATTTCAAGGTTTGCCAAAATATACTTGATTATGTTGAGAATCACTATTTAAAAATTTAGAAAAATTCATAACACAATGCTTAAAAATATGATTTTTAATTGATAGAAATATTTGGTACTCCTTTTCTTTAAATTGAAAATAAAATTGTTCATGAAATTGTTTTTTTATTGTTGGTTCATATTAACCTTTACAATATAAAACTCCTAAATCTTTTAAAATTTCAAATTCAGCTTGAGTTTTTGGAATTGTATGTTTGTATTCTATATTTTTTTTCTTTACAATATAAACAAATAATATTATTACATCGATGAAGCTTACAACAATTTCTACACTTCTTATTTTGACATCTCCAATGATTAACATTACATAAATTACACAAAGGAATTTCTCCTGTTCTGGCAAATTTATCTTCATGTTGTTGACGTTCTTTTTTAGAAGATTCTCACTTATATTTAAACTTATTAACACAAGGAATACAGTAATATACTGTACTTATTATATGTTGAAATTGATAATTTTTCATTGTAAATTTGTTATACGCTGATAATTCTTGGAAATTTGAAATAGATTTTTGTAAGATAAAGCAGCTACAATTATTGGTTGATAAATAATATTGATAAAATTGATATTAAAAAAATTAAAATTATAAAGATTAAATTTTCGATTTAATTTAATATAGGCTTGTATCTTGTTATTTTGTTTAAAAATAAGGTATTTTTCAATTGATATGTCATGTTCAACTAATAAAAATTCCAAATGTAATAAAATATCTTCTAGATTGAAGTTACAATTTGAATAAATCAAATGAAATTATCGAGAATAAATTCTAATCATCTTTAATTTTCAATGTCAAAATCACACTTATTTATACTATTTTCTTATGCATTTGTCATGTGTTCAACTCTAATTGGTTCATTAAATTATTACTAGAAAATTCTTTTTATTATTTAAAAATTAGCTAAGCAATTTACATAAACTTCCTTATTCATATTTTACAAATTTGGATTTCTATGAACTTCCCATTAGTATTTTACTAAATGGAATGTTCATTGTACTTTCCAATTTGTATTTTATGAATTTGAAAGTACAATGAACTTTCTGATTCATATTTTATGAATTTGAAATGATCATATAATTTGTTGATTATAAATATTGTAAGTATATTCTTGATACAAATTTTTATTACATACGTTTTGGTACAAATACTATGTATATAATGATTATTATCTCAAAATTTCACTTATCTAACTACCAAAATGATTCTAAGTAAACATTTAGAGCAGATGGTCAGCTAATTAATGTTAAATTTCACACTAGACGGATAAAAAGCCATGGGGATATTCCAATTTTTGTAAAAAGAATACACCTACATTTTCATAAGTTTTTCATTTCGAAAAATCTAATTCCAGATACGTTATTGAAATGAAACCTCAGTATATGCAATAGCAAAGTTGTTAAAGTAGATTTTTAATGATTTACAGTTAAAATTTCAAGTCTCTAATTTCAAAACTGACGAAATGATGGATTTTTTTCATATGGTTTTGCAAATATGAAAATTTGTGATGAAGACTGACAAAAATTCTTGGTTTTAGCTCAAATTTTGAGAACGTATATAATAATATATGCTCAAATTTTACATGCCAGTTGTGGAGTTTCATGGAATTTTTTTTGTGAAATTTGGTGGTTTTGGACGAAATTTGATCAAGATCTTACATTTTTTCATTAATCATTTTTTTTTTATCTATATGTTTTGAAATAATGCATACTAATAAAATTTTTTTGCAACATGTAAATATGCAATACGATGATAACAATTTTGGTAGAGAGTATAATCAAGAATATGTATGTAAAATTTCAGGTCAAACAGACAAATATTCGTAGAATGATGCCAAATTTGATGAAGCACTTTTGTATGAGCTTTGCAGATTAAAATATTTGTGTAACCGTAATCATTAAATATCTCAAAATTTTATTAGTAAAATAACAAAGTGGTTTTATCAAAATGGCATTATTTTTGTCATTCTACAACATTTATTAATAATATAAAGTCAATTTTTTTAATAAAATTTCACGTAAAATGTGTTTTAATTTTGGTGACAAGTAAAAAATAATAGATAAAAAACATAGAGTGGTGTGACATATAAGAAATGAAATGAAAATTTGGCCTAAAAAAATTAAATAATTTGGCTAGCATTAATTTTAATTTCTAAAAAAATTACCTAAAATAAATAATCTGACTAGTATTAAGAAAGAGTGTGAAAATTGCAGAAATTAGTACTGTTTTACAGAAATCTAGCACCTATTAAAAATTACTAGTAAAAAAAATGCAAAAATCTACCACCTAATTAAAAAAATGTAAAAAGGCTCATTTTTTAATTTTATAGTACTAAAATTAATAGTAAAAATTACAAAAGATCACTATTTGCAGGGTGTAAAAATTGCAAAAATCTAGCACCATACAAACTGACCTGGAGTATGTTGATCATTTGCAATAATAAGGTTTGAAATATCATTTAATACTATTGATAAAGTGTTACTTAATGTAATTGGCTAAGTTAGTTACTATAGAATTGTAAAGTCGATTTTATCAACTTTACAATTCAATCTAAATTGAGCTTTTACTATAGAATCATAAAGTTGATAAATTAACTTTACAATTCAATCTAGACTGAGTTGCTTTTATTTGCACTGTAACACTTTTCAATGCAAATAATATAATAAAAAAACAACTAAATAGTGAATAATAAAAATAAATAGATTAAAGATATAAGCTTCTTGTAGCTATTGAATAATAGTGTTTTGAGTATTAAGATAGAAAATAGTATTGTTATTAGAAAAATAAATTAAAATAATATGAAATTTGAAATCATGTTTAAAAAACAGATCAATTAAAAGAGTATAGCCAGAGATAAAAGTAATTTTCTGAATATATATAGTAAGTTAGAGAGTTGTAGACTATAATAGCAGTTCCAGCTTTGGAACTATCAGTATATGATTAAAAGTACATATAGTTGGGTTTTGAGAAATTTAAAAATAAGGTTGCTATTGGCAAGTTTGATTTCAGTAAAGCAAATTATATCCAAATTGTTAGATAAGCAGTAATGTTCCCAAACTTGTCATTTAAGATCTTGGTTAAAGCCACAAATATTATAATTACATATAGAGAGATTAAGAGGACTAGGTAATATAAAGTATTGGTAGGATTTAAGTAGCATATATTTAAACCAGTGTAAGAGATCTTGAAATAGAGGTATAAAGTGGTTTGTGAGTGAATACGATTTGTTAGATAGATATATATATGCTTTTGTATGTTCATCCTCTTTGTTTTTAGTACTGAGAATAAAGATTTTAATATAATAAGATAAGTAGTATGAAAGATAATCATGTAATATATAAGTAAGGAAGAAATGAATTGTTTGTGAGTGTTCAAGTAGAGGCAGTTTATAATGAAAAAGAAATTTATTTAGTATATAAGTGGGTTGACAATGCCAAGTTGTTCAGTTATTTGAGTTATTGTTTTTGATTTTAAATCATTATTTTTATTTTGTAAAATATCTTTAAGATTAGAGTCTAAGGAAGATTCATAGTTAGATAATGAAGATACAAAAGAGTAGAGATGTTGGGAAGATATTGAAGTTTGTAGATCATAAGAGGCTAATAATGTTGAAAATGATTATACAGAAGTAATATCTTCTATAGCATTCACTATATACCTGGCTTGCACAGTTTTGCAAGAGCTAGCAACAATCAAATTATATATTAAAGAGTTGTTTAGATCTAGCTCTTCTAGGTAAATAGACTTATTCATCTGCCTACTTATATTATTCTCCTTATTAATTGCTTTGGTTGCATCTTTTAATAAGGCAGTGGCTGTATTAATAAGGTTTGCAGAAGACATATTTATTAAAAAGAAAACTTTTTAAAAAATAAAGAGTCTTCAATTTCATTAGGGACTAAAAAATTAAGGTTGAATTTAGCAATTAGAAGAAGTTCAGCTTCAGGATAGGCTATATTTTTGTAGTATTTTGCTGTTTGAGTATAAGAAAGTTGTTTTCCAAAAAACAGATCATAATAGGTAATGATTCTAGCTAGAAGATCAGTAGAGATGAGATTTTGTATCATTTTTCTTATAGCAGAATCTTTGATGAGATACTCGAGACTGAGGTTTTGGGCAGCAGTTTTTTGGTAGGCTGTTAGGTACTTGTAAAAGAAGAGATTGTGGTAACTAGTTGAGGTGGAAAGGAAGTTGATTTTACAATATTTTTTTTCTGCTTGATTAGCAAGTTTGTCAAGAAGAATAGTAGATATTAGTTTAAAGAA